TGAATCTTTCGATAAATGTCCAACTCCTAAGACTCAGACAATGAGAGTGCTGTTTCCGAGACGGTCTTCCCTAATGAACCTTATCTTAAAAAGGACCAAACCTGGAACCAATTATCGAAGTGAGTGAGATAACGTAACAGGCGAATTGTTCTTTGTACGTTTTTCGCAAGCTGTCTGAGTCATCCTCTGAAAATGAGCTTACAATCGGACATAAAACTCACAATCAACTGCCAACTGACTAGAATTAGACAGTCGATTGACTAGACCATCATCGACTGGACACTACCGAATACCTGGAACCGTACCAAAAGAAAAAGAATCGATCGCGAAGAAATACCAGCTAGTGAAAAAGAAATTGGATCTCAGGGTGGTATATTGTCCTTTCTGTAGAGTGAACAACTTTCAGTACACACTGTCAAGATAAATTGCATCTGTCCCATCCGTGATATCTGTGGAAGAAAATTTTTATCTACACTGGAAAAAAATGCAAGTAAAAATACAGATTGTTCAACCTACTTTTCTTGCTATTAAAGACCTGATTCTAACAAGTTTCTAACGCGCACTTTTGCAGAGGACGTTAGTTCTCAGGGTTGGCGCATTCTTCAATGCTAGTATGTTAATATGGTCACGTTTTACGTTTGCTGTGAATATATCGCATATCAAACGAATTTTGTGAGAAAAGACTTTACAGGTTTATAAAAATGTTGTCATTTGACCAAATAAGGTGCTATATAGCATATATATACCTAGCTAATGAGTCAGTTTTTGGAAACGAAACGACTTTTGATATGAAATAGTAAAGTTATCCTTGATCAAGAGCTTGTAAATAAGGGCGGGAACATCAGATTTATCACCTAGTTCAGATTTGTGCATTATATACATAAGGCTGATATCCCTTATTCGTTCTTTCTGGATCTAGTCTTCACTTGTGTAAGTCGGTCGAATGTATGTACACACCAAAATTTCGGTTATTAGTATCCAAAATTTTATAGTTCGTAAACATTTGTACGCCATGGATATTTTTTCCAATACTGGCCTGCTATATTGTCTGTGTAGTAGCAAGAAAAAGATATATTGTGTCCATAATGGTTTCTTCAAGCTATTTAAGAAAATATGAAGTTAATTTCTTTCTGCGTAAATTTTAATAGTTCTGATTTTACAAGAGGAAACCTCTGTCGGTACTTCAATCATTTGAAGTCTTGTCAATGTACCAGTTTCTGCCTAGTGCAAGTCTTTTATTTATTTTTGACTGTTTTGATTGAAGAAGTTCAGAAAAACATGTCTATTGGTTTTAATATGGTAAATCAAACAGTTCACCTGCAAAACGAATTCCCTGTACCATATGAAATCTTTTTTCGGTGTCTAGTGTTTATCATTTTGGTGACTATCAAAACACTGTTTGCTTTGTTTCTTTACAATAATTTTTTCTGTCAGCTGTTAAGCTTACGAGGGCGGATTTCGCAACGACTGTAGCTGTTACCTTGACGTGCTGTTCAGGTTTGCCTATTTTGATGACCGAATTGAGCTTTATTGGCGGGAATATATGTTCCTTTAGGTTCTGCCATGCCAGGCAGGTCGATTGGAGAACGGAAAGACTATAAGTAGCAACTAAACATCTGAAAGCGTGATTGTACTGTTTGGTGTAAGGGGTTGTGACATTAGTACAGTGTTTCCTTCAGACACAGCATCTGCATCGATGCTGCCTTCTCACAAAGAAGCAAGGGGTTATAAAAGGTCGACCCTAAAAATGTCACCCCATACCTTACCCCACGGATTTCTACCCAGGCGAATCTAACACGTCCATATCCTGTTGAGAGGCAGCGCGTAATCAACACCATGCGGTTGTCCCTTTGGACCCTGCTCTATAATTGAGCAGATGAATTGACTGTGAACCGAATTCAGAACAAGAACGTACCCATCGATTCCCAATTCAGTTACGTGAATGGAGTGCATTCCAAATTATGGAAGAGAACCAGAACTAAGTATAAGCTCTGGTGATTAGTTCTGAACGGTCTCTACTCACGAACCTCTTATCGTCGAAGGACAAAGCCTAAAAACAATATCACCAAACCGGGTACTTACTGTGGACTTGAACTGAGACGATGTTCAGAAGACACTAGGCTGTTTAAAAACAGCGAAATCAACAGGACCGTATGGACTACACCCTAAAATTCCAAGACGAATTACACCTTATATTGCTAAGCCACTAATTACAATATCACGGGTGTAGCTCAGCCACGGCGTAGGCAAGACGCTCGTCTGCCAGCCAAAGGGGGAGTTTACTGTGGCAGTCCACTTTATCTCATACACGGGTGAGAAACACGGCCGGTAAGAGTAGAAGATATTCGTAGGTTACTAGTATTCGGTCATAGATGTCTTAGAAGGATTGCTCGTTTATCCTGAGACAACCCAGTAAGCAATGCTGTTGTTAGAAAACGAGCACTAGGTAAGGATGGCAGATCAGTGGATGAAGTATTGAAGGTGGTTGAGACATGTGTTATGAGTGCCCGACTATCGATTGCCATGCTGGATAATGTTATGTGATGTAGAAATAGACCGGAAGAAAGTTAGTGGTAGACAATCCAAAACATGGCAGAAATTAATGAAGTCACTGACAACCGAACTGATCCATGTTGGTAGATGTAGACTACTTAGTTCGGATCCACGAGATAATAGTAATAGATGGTTAAGGACACGGCTGAAAATCGTTTGCAAAGATACATATGCATTCATCCCGAATCTTCTTTCAAATTCAAATCTTCCCATCTTTCATGAACCTTTTTTCTCCTTACTATTTATTTCACTGGACTATACTTCTTGAAATAATATCTTTTGTCCCTGATCTTTTGGATTACCGCTAATACTGCAACTACTTCCATTATTGTGGTGTTTGAATAGACAGTGTTATCTCTGTGTTGATGTGGCATGGCAACTTGAACTGATGTACGCAGCCAACTAACTGAAGTTTTCTCAAAGTTGGGGCTTTCTAGTAAAATATTGGGGATCTTGTTTGGAACCACAAACCTCCTTAATTTTGAACGACATGCCGTTAATTTACGTATACACAGGTTCGAACTTAAGTGACAGAAGCACTTTCTGTTTATCGTTTCCAAAAGCTATTAGTCTCTAAACTTTTCAGTATATCTGTTTATTTCAGGTCTGTTTGATGCTCACAATCTTTCGCAGTTTTGAACCGCAGAACCTGAAATAGGCATTATTTTCCACAATTCTCACAAAACTCAACAACAAACGTTTGCCGGGGATGGGGGTCTTCTTCTCCAAGCGTCAAAGTGTAGAATTTGCTTTGTTACCAGCTGATGAAATAAGCGGTCCTCTGGGTCTAGGTAAGTTGGAAGTAAAATCTACAAACGAGATTACATACCGTCTATCTATGCACCGTGGGACTTGACAGTCCCGTAAATAAAGTAAACACGTCAGATTTTGGAACGATGTAAGGAAAGAACCACGCCTCAGGACAGAAAGAAGAAATACTTAATCCATACAACAGAGTATAAGTAATGGTATTTAAGCTAATGCCAAGTTGAAGGGAAGACAACAATAGCTCTCAAGACCCAGTGAGTTTTATGCAGTGAAGCGTCAAAACCGACCTTGCATCGTATCATTCTGCGTTCCTGACTAACTATATCCAGCAAACCTGCACATCTTAGACTAGTAATCGGTAAATCTATGATGTAACTACTCTGGTTCCCTTCATCTCGTAGGATAACCCAAAGTCATGCATTGAATTTAATACTCTGCTTGATTTATACACGCCGTCACTAATTAGTAATCCAAGTTCGATACCAGCTATCTTACCAGTTAGCGACGATGCTGAGACATCGATATTATATATATAACTCACCCTTTACACATTCGTTGTTCGAAATTCCCGAGCTGCATGTTATAAAATTCGTTCTCTAGTCTATAATACCGTCATATTAACAGGTAAATGAAGTTTGCAACGGCTGGATAGGATATTTCACCCTTAGACACTCAGAAAACACATTTGGTTCTCCCTAAAATGATCCCGTAAGGCTATCACATCGTGTATGGCTGTAGATTTGAGTTGTCATGAGAACCGCTAATTTGCGCTTAAGTAACCCAAAACATCGAATCTGTATTATAATCAATCTGTAATTACTCTTACCTATTTTGGATTCCGTCTCATAAAATAAAATTTTAGCAAACTTTGCTGATAACCGGGTTCACCAATACTATGTTATCACTGCTTGCTATGTGTAATGTTAGGCTGGATTTCGTCCAGTTACTGAAACTTTAACATTATTCAACCCTTCTAATAGGTGACCCAGAAAGTAAAGACATAACAAAAGTTGAGGAGGAGAGTCTTATACCAGCACTTATGCAAGACAGGCTGAGAACGAAACAATGTGCGAAGCTTTGGGACGGTAAGTAATGTTCACTTTAAAACATTTCTTTTCAGAATGGTCAAATTGTACACAAAAATACTATTGGGCAGCGATATACATTTGTAAGACGGACTTTCACAAGGCTTTAGAATGCAACAAAAGATAGTAAGACAAACTAATAAAAAATTGTTGATTTCAGTCTACAGGATCCTCAGTTTACCGAAGAAATGAGGGCTCTGTACTTGAAGATGCGTTCGGACTACAGGAGAACAGGACTGGAACAACGCGTGGTACGAACGGATAACCCAATGTAAATAGAATTAAATAGAATTCACAAGTGTTTTAGTACATTTTTATTCTTTTGAAACTGAAACTTGAAAAGGAATCTGGAGGTTAGTAGTAAGATAAAAGCAATGTTTATTAAAGGATTCTGAATGAAAGTAAACATCTTGTAACCAAATATTAATGCCTAGTTAGCATATTCAAGAGGTTAAATACAAGTGGTACAATCTTCGGAGTGCATGTTGATGTTAAAAATTTTGGAACACTCCAAAGATATGACACCACTCAATTTTAACCTCTTGAATATACTAATTAGGCATTAATATTTGGTTACAAGATGTTTACTTTCATTCAAGCAGGTACAGTTGCACCTTGAAATGTTGAGTCTTGGGAAAGAAGTAGGTTGTCCATCTGACTGGCACCTTGACCAAGGCGGAAATCCAGGGAAGTGCTCTCCTGAAAACATAAATTAGAGTTGTGATATTTGATTTCAAGTAAAAAGCATCAATAAAATAAATACTATACTATAAATCATATAATTATTTCAGAACTGTGTCTTACTTGTCAGTGATAGGTTAGTTCAATGAGTGAACTTCTTCATAAAATTAGCATTAACAAATGATATGTAATGAGTAACCTATCCTATACTAATCAGGATATAGACATGGATTTGTAGTGCACTAATGTATACGTAATTATCATGACATCAGCATAAATTGACAAAATCCATCAAACTAAAGATGTCAATGGAATAGGTAACAACATTCAGTAATTCCTAGAAACCTTCAATTAGGTTTATATTGCATATAGAGAACAGCTCATTAAAAGCGAGCAACTAACTTATCCGGTAAACAAATAAAAATTAAAGCTACGAGCAGGGCATGATCGTTTGACGTGAACGTGTGTTACAAAAAATCTAAAAAATAAATATATTTTGACTAACAAGCATGTATATATATCGTGATAACTTGATGTGAGTATTAAAGATAAAACTACCTGAGATAAGCCGGAAAGTCCTGAATTACGCGACTGACTACTGAATACACCTATGTTACCAAGACCGGCTGTTCCTTGAGTCCCTGAAAATTCTGACAAACCAGGCTGAGAAAGGAGACCAACACCCGAGTTAGAAGTATCAGGATTACCGCATTCCATAGAAATATTGGTCAAACCGTTAGACCCATCAACTTGACGCGCCTTAGAGTTGCCAACCGAAGCATTTTGTGAATTGGCCTGTAAATTTCGACGAGCATTTCCGAGATATCGAGGAGCTGAAGAACCAACGATGTTATTTCCAGGAAGGGGACCCCCTGGTGCCCTTGTACTTCCTGTATTAAACTGAGAGTAGTTGGCATTCATGTTAAGCGGACCAAGAGCTTGTATTGATCTTCCAAGTGGGGCAGCTGCTCCGAGGTTAGTACCATATTTCCCATTGCCAAAATGACCAGAAGAGCCGAAAGAATTTGCTACATTGGGAGAATTCGATAATCGACTAGCAGGCATCAACATACTTAGCGGCATGGGGAGATCTAGATAAAACGAATGAAAAAAAGAGAAGAGCTATGTCAGAGACTGCCTGGTAAGAACACTGATATGTTACTCCTACAGCAACAGGTTCATAATTATCCATGACATGTAAAGATTAACATTACGCTATGTCACCTGAAGACTACATAATGATTAGGATAGAACGTAAGATATAAACTGAATTCCAGACGATATATAGATCAAGAAATGTATCAGTCAGACGATAATTAGACGAGTGCCTTGCTATTATAAACTTTGAAATTCAATCTTGAAATGATGCCTGTAGGTCGCCATAACCATCTCGCAACCACACTTGTAGAAATGTGTCTTGTGTGTCCTTAATGGAGTTCAAAAAATTACATGAAACTAGTACGGATTGAGAGGAACTCATAGGGGGGATTCGAAGTTTACTGGTGAAACTTTAAAATTGAAACAACTATCATGTTTATTTTGTCCTCATATCTGTCATATGGTTACCTACAAAACATCGAGAGAAACTTCGTCCGAATTGCCATTCATTATGGACAGGAAACAGTAATGATGTAAACGTAATATTTAATAATTTACTTACTTGAACTGGCATTGGCTTCTGCATACTGTCGATTTGGTCCTATGTAACCGACTTGGTCAAATAATGATTGATTTAATAGTTGATGCATACTATGGGAACTTCCATTTGTTTGACCAGAATATGATTGACTTGATTGGTGTTGAGCAGCTGCAGCAGCCGCAACAGCATAAGCTGCTGCATGGCTTGCCCCAGGTTGGTTTAGTGCTGAAGACCCATGTAATCCTAAGGTCGAGACATTGGGGCGAGTATTTGAATTAGATCCGCCAAAGTAAGCCGCAGCAGCTGCTGCTGCCATAGCGGCTACTAAGGCTGTAGGTCCATTAGGATTATCGAAACATGGTTGAGATGAATTCGGAACATGAGAAAGATAATTAAACTGATTTCCAGGATGTGTATTTAATTGACCATTTAACTGACTGCTATTTAATAGAGCAGGATTTGCAGAGAGTTGTGCGAGATAATGCCCACCAGGTTTGAAAGTGTACGGAACTTTTGGTCTGGGAAACTGTAACATGTATTCACTCAAATTGTTTAAAGGTCCCTCCACGAGCAAATGCTGATCACGATAAAAATGTAACAGCTGGTTCCAAAGTGGTTGCTGAAAAGAAATAAAATATTCAAGTAAGAACAAGCAAGATAGGGATTCATGCGAAGTGAACATTTTCTCTGCAAATGAATCGCATAAAACTATGAATGCCATAGCCGTAAACACTAGTCAAGTACATCTAATCGTAAGTTGAATTGCTTACACGGTCCAGCACCGTTCTGTATGAATAACTTAGGTTGAAACGCAACATTTGTAAGGTATGGGTGTAATTGCTAAAAATTTCAAAAGTGTGGATTTGATCTATAGAAAATAAAATTCCAGAATGTGTTGTTTAGAAGACAATAAAAGGTCAGTATAATTTAAATCCACTTTTGAAAAAAAGCATTACCTTGCACAAAGCCTTTGGATTTCCAACGACAATCAATCCGTAACGGGCACGAGTGAGAGCAACATTCAAACGACGTGGATCATTGAGAAAACCAATACCTTGATTCTCATTCGCCCGGACACACGACAAGATGATATAATCCTTTTCCCGCCCCTGGAAAGCATCTACGCTAGCAATTTCGATTTCTTGATACAATTTGGCATTCAAGGAACCAGAATAATGAAGATAATGTGCTAAGTATGCACGTTGTCCTTCATAAGGTGTGATCACTCCAATGGTATTCGGATGAACACCTATTTTTAGCATCCTGTAAAAAGATGAAAAAATATATTGCACATTTTTTATTCAAAACGATGGATAGAAACTAACTACAAAGCGAAGGCCAGTCAGTAGGTCAGCTGAAACGTAGGAATTCATAGGTACGTATATTAATCATTTCATGTTGCATACCACATTAGCACAGAGATCGAGTAACGACGCAAACAAATCCTGAAGCAGCATTTTGCATTTCGAGAGGTAGAATCGCATTGCGAACATGCTTGCATTACTGCTTAAGGTGGTCAGAAGACTAAATGTTGTCAGCATATTGACCAAACAGAAATATATTGTTTGCATACTCTGAGTCAACATGTGTATGTCCTCGTAGAAATCCAACTATTGAAAAGTCAGACGATGGCAATCTCATCGCTAAAAGCATATCAATGACAAAGTTGAATAAGAATGCTAAAGTGGACAACCCTGACAAATATCACATGAAGTTATCAATTCTGATGATAGTTCGCCATAACCTCTCACTCGACCGGTGATGTTCGAGCATAGAGCCTGTATAAGGTTTATGTACTTTCCTGGTACTCCTTTCAGTGACAAGCACTGCCATAAGACCTTAAAATCAACATAATAAGACGTCGCCTTAAGGTTGAGGAATACAACTATTTTCGGACGTCCAAATGCGTGTGTGTTCTAGAACCTGACGTAGTGTGAATACCTGGTCTATAGAGTCGCCTGCATGTCTGAAACCAACTAAGCTTTAGTTAAGAGTTGTAGTTTTATTGAACCTTATGTTTTAGACACTATATTAGTTAGATCGATTCTTCTGTGATAGTCAGCAGAGGACTTCCATCCTTTTTCATGCGTAAGGCTTCTTATCAGCCTGTACTTAAGTCGCCCTCGCTCATCGTTTTTCGAGACAGATGCGATGAGTTTCCCTTCATCTATTAGTTAAGGAAATACCGCTGGAGTCCAATGACTTTTCCTAACCTTTTGGATTTAACTGACTGGCAGATATAACTGCTCTCTCCAGTGCCTTTCGGCTATCATTCCAAACTACCTCAGGGTGGGCATCATGGACACGGTTGTCCAACTCTTTTTCTAGCTGCTCTTGTAAAGCAATCTTGGATTTCTTTATTGCTAAGTAGAACTTTCATATGTTACCTTACTGTGACTTACTGTTCTCGTGCAAGACCCTGGTCGGTCTAAATATGTGCTGCAGAATGAGTGAGTCTTCTATCGAACCCCTCCATCAGTGACTTATAGCAGTGAAGTATTCGGGCGTGTAGACCGCTTCACTTATCTCAGAAGTCTCATCGGTGCTGATGGCCTGGTGACTGACGAAATCTCAGCTCGGATACAGAAGGCTCGATTGGCTTTTGCCAACCTGCGTCACTTATGGCGTAGGAGAGATATCCGTTTGCAGACTAAAGCACGAGTGTACTGTGCAGTGGTTCGCTCGTTCTTACTTTATGGCTGCGAAACATGGCCAGTGAGAGTAGAAGATATTCGTAGGTTACTGGTTTTCGATCATAGATATCTTCGAAGCATTGCTCGTATATCCTGGGACAATCGAGTAAGCAGTGCTGTCGTTAGGAAACGAGTACTTGATAAGAGTGGTCGGTCAATAGATGAAGCATTTAAACTTCATCAGTTGAGGTGGTTGGGATATGTGTTACGTATGCCTAACCACCGATTGCCTCGACGAGCTATGTTTTGTGGTGTAGGAGTAGGTTGGAAGAAAGCTAGGGGCGGACAGACCAAAACATGGCAGAAATCCATGAAGTCAGTGACTAGTGGACTGAGTCATGTTGGTAGATGTAGGCTACCTGGTTGGGGTCCGCGAGACGAAAGTCACCAATGGTTAGAGACCTTGAACGATATGGCTCAAAATCGTTTGCAATGGCGCAAGTGCATCCATTCTTTGAGCCCTCTCAAATCCTAATCTTCTGGATTCGTCAGCACCTCTACGTTTGTCTTTCTAACCTTATCTCACTGAATTATACTTCTTGAATAATATCTTCAAACCCTAGTCTTCTTCATCACCATTAATACCTCTACTATCTCTATCACTATGGGATTTGATTTGACATTTGCGTCTCTGTGTTAATGTGGTGTGGCAACCAAGCGACTGTCTACTGCGATACAGTCTGAGAGAGCTAGTTCTACTTTAGAAATTAATGCCTTGCATACACCAATTTTTGGTTTCACGAATACAAGCGATGAAAATAAATTTTGAACTGACTTTACAAAATACTTGGTTCAAACCAGACTGATCATGTATAAATCCCACAGATGCTGATTCAACTAATTTTCATGGAACAGGACTGTTAACAGGTAAGTAAACAAAAGCCTAAATTTTGAGAACCTGTTCACTGGAATTCAGTTTATGTCTTAATGTGTATTGATGTCAAAATTTTATTTTTATATTATTTTAAATTCAAGCTTTCATTTGACATTATCAACCATTGAAATATATTTACCAATTGTAAACTACAGTAAACATGAGTCAATTTTGATATTCATGTCGTGCTTCATGGTATTGTATTTTACGCAATAAAACTCATTTTTCAACGTCTGAATAGTACAGGATAGAAAGATAGTTGTCTGGATTTACTGATTGCTAGTCCGGGAGAATGAATTAGGATATCACGTGGGCTATCAATTGTTTTGGCACACATAATAAACAGCTTTAGTTGACTCAACGGGTATAAAAAGCCATAACAAGTTTACAGAAAGAGTAGGTTATCTCGGGTCAAATCGGCAAGCACTGGTTACTGACATTGATAATACACCAAGTGAGTTCAATTTATGGAAAAACCATTAATGCAAGTCTCATTGAAAGCAGCGAAAGTACAAACTAAGAAACTGCAGATTTAAAAACTCACTTTGTGACGATTTTTTCAACTGTCGCGGCTTCTGTTCGATTTAGGTATGACACGCCGTTACCAGATATTTCTTCCTGTCCAGATGTACAGTAGAAAAACATAGGTCTGTCCGGATTTGGCCATGGAAAATCAATCTTTTTGCAGCGATCTTCTGCTGTAACTCCATTTTGTAAACTACCCTCATAAAAAACATTGCTTGGAAAAGCCGAAAGAGCAGGATGCATACGATACTGGACCTTGACAATAAAAGTTTCAAGTAATTAGGTTGGAACATGACCTTTAAGATATAACTTGAATGTTGATTAAAAATTATTTGAAATATTATGCTATCAGTAAGTCAGCTGCAACGTAGAACTGGGTACGTTAATACATCAGTTTATGTTGCTGAACCATATTAGTATAGAAGGATGGAATTGTCCGTTCCAATTCCATAGTATTAAAGGTTGTAACAGTACGATTACATGATGACGGGACTCAGTAGTGAAATAAATTTCCATGCACTTAACTTTTAACCAAACGTCTACATCAGAGCTAGGGATAATTGACTTCGCGCAAGAAAAAAGAGACAAGACCTAGGCCTAAAATCTAACTGCTTACATTTCAGGACATCATATGCTAAGATTTAAGTTGTGTTGAGATCTGCTAAATACAGTGCTTGGTTTAGCAAACAACACGAATCAGTAAAACCCCGGGAATTTTGAGCTCATCAATCTCAATTTTAGAGACAATGTTAAAAATACCTCCTTATTCAAACGAATGAGTATTTGAGGTGATCGTTGCTAGACAGCTTTTTATGGAGCGTCCGCGATCCAACTTGACATGGGCAGCTACAGCAATTTGGATGCAAGACAGAATTCAGACGTGTCATGCAAACGACTATTGATAGTATAAAAACCTATTATTTAATTTGCTACTTAGTTACATTCGGAAATTAAAACAATGTATCAAACGTTTATTTCAATCAAAATGCATGAATTAAGATATATAACGTACCTGTAAACGTATAGGTCGGATACCAAGTAGAACGAACCGTTCAAACAAACTCTGAGTTAGGCCGGCGCTAGCAGCCTTTTTACACGTAATCACAGGTCCCAATTGACAATGATCACCAACTAGGACAACCTGGCGACAGCCAACCATCAATGGTATTAAACATTCTGGTTCAGTAGCTTGTGTGGACTCATCAATTAAAACTGAGTGGAAACTTAAGCGCTCCAGACGCGCATCACCTGCAGTTACACAAGTGCAGCAAACTACATCAGCCGCCATAAGGATTTCTCCTGGTGAGACAAAAATGGGTCGCGTATTAGACAACTATACATACAAAGTGATGTTTAACTACATTTTGTCACAGAAAATACATATACGTCTTCTGATAGAAAATAACTAGTTAATAATCCTTATTACAAAACGTTATTTCTAATATGATTAAAATTTAGATATAATCAGAGCTTAAACAGATGGAACTAAATGTATTCATCAGTATCACTCAGCATTTACAACCTAATATTACGCCATGACCAGTAAGAAGCGAGGATATTAGTAGGTTACTAGTATTCGATCATCGTGAACAAACGAGTAAACAATGCTGTTGTTAGGAAACGGGTATTAAGTAAGGATGACAGTTCAATTGCAGTAGTAAAGCTTTACCAGTTGAGGTGATTGAGGCATGAGTTACGAACGCCAAACCACCGAATACCTCGACCAGCAATGTTTTGTGGTGTACGGATAGGCTGGAAGAAAGCTAGGGGCGGCTAGACCAAAACATGGAACAAATCCATGAAGTCACTGACAAGTTGGCTAAGCCGTGTTAATAGATGTAGACTGCCTGCCTGATTGGGGTCTGCAAGACGATAGTAACCAGTGGTTAAAGACTGAATGACGTGGCTCAAAATCGTTTGAAAAGGAGCAGATGCATCCATTATTTATGTTTTCTCAAATCCTAACCTTCTGAATTCCTCATCACCTTCATCTTTCCCTTTTTAAATTTGTTTCACTGGATTAAACTCCTTCCATAATAATTTTTGAAGCCTAATCTTCTTTACTAGTAATTAGCTCCATTACTATGGGATTTTAAATGACAATTCGATCTGCGTGCTAATGTGGTATGGCAGCTACAACTGATGTATGTACCTAAGAAGTTCAACGTTATAACTGACTTATTGACAGCTAGACAGAATTGTCATGGTAATTTGCATGGTAGAGTTAGTAATAGTATTGATGGAAACAGAAAAGGTTAAGCATCGAGGATACAAAGCAATAAACTACAAAACTGTTCAATAAAATTAAAACATTGAGAAACTTAGGACCTAAGGGTAAAGAGTGAACATACCTGCGCTACGGTGGGCGATACATGGGACGCTTTACGGTTTTACGTGTCATATTTACATAGAAGTCATGTTAATCTTTTCTGTATCGCTCCAACATTAGTTTGTGCTTCACCAAAGTATTAAGCCCTTGATGACTAGTTTAGTTACACACGTAATAAATTTAAGGCCAACCTACGAATACGACTGTGCCGGTTACTCGTAACATCTTTAGAAAAAATCTAAACGAATAAGATGAGGTATGACTAGATATAAATAAAAACGACAAAGAGAATAATTCAGATACGATACTTTCATAATCTGATTTTATAAGGGTTGAACTTCTACCAGGAGTTCCTCTCGTTGGCTTAGAATATGCCGCTGAAAGTTCTACTTGGTGAAGACGCTGACAAAGTGCAAAGTCTTTTGACGAGCCTGAGCAACAACGCAAGCATGTTCGGGGCGCAACTCTCCCCGTCGAAATGCAAAATGTTGCCTTAGGATTTGTTTTCGTTGGCACTCGAACTACTTATAGGGACTGAAGTAGTTGAGCGTGTTGATCGCTTCACTTGTACTGGGAGTCTCATCTGTCCTGATGGTTTGGTGACTGACGAAATCTCGGCACGGATACATAAGGCTCGATTGGCCTTCGCCAACCTGCGTCACCTATTGCGTAAGCGAGATATCGGATTGCTAACGAAAGGACGAGTGTACTGTGCAGTAGTTCGCTCCGTCTTACTTTATGGGTGTGAAACATGTGCAGTAAGAGTAGGGGATATTCGTAGGGTGACAAATCAGTTGAAGAAGCAGTGAACCTTCATCAGTTGAGGTGACTGGGACATGTGTTACGAATACCCAACTAGCGACTGCCTAATCTTCCCCTTCATCGTCAATATTTCTACTACCTCCATTACTATGGGATATGAATTAACAATTCCATCTCTGGGCTGATGTGGTATGGAAACTTGGACTGATGTACGTCACTACGAAGTTCTACGTCGTAGCTGACTGACTGACTGACTTAATATTACGTAAACTTTTTAATACAAAAATCTTGTGAAAACTCATAACTTACGTTCAAGCTCACGTTTTAAAACCCGATAACGTTTATCGTCGTCTTGACTCAGTTCACCAGCCTCATCTTTCAACTGTTGTAGCTTACGAAGTTCAGTATGACCTTTAACATTTTGAGCTTGTATATGCAGCATAAGACGACTAACAGGAGATGCAAGAGCCTCTCTAGATCTTGCACATAGACGCACAACCTTCAATCCAGTACGGTCAATCTTTTCACACAACTGATCGACTGCAGTATTGCTCGGAGCAACAACCAATACCTTTTTTTGATGTATTTGATTCAAATGATAAACTATTGATGCAGACGTTACAGTTTTCCCTGTCCCAGGTGGACCTTGTATCAGACTAAGTGGACGTTGAAGAACTGTTTTGACGGCAAACACTTGGCTGTGATTCAACTCTGGTAAGTCTGGTGCAGAATAGCGTTTAGGTAAATTGCACTTTAACACCATATCATCTAATTCTTGGCCAAGAAGTCGATAGAATATGCATGGTGGTAACAAACCATGTTGTTCATCGGTAACAATTGAAATTGCTCGTCGCATCCTATCGAAAGGAGTTGATTTCCATTTAAATTCGATTTTATACGTTACAGGCTCTATAGGTGTATCAATGACTTGTTTCATTTCCAAACCAACTTCATCACTGAAATCTAAGGAAAAAATGAATAGGATTATTCTGTAGTAACATCATGTTAAATAAGCCCCAGTAAATGTTGAGTTATACTATTTGATAAGAAGGTCCACATAACTACTCACATTAACAAAGGTGGAACGCTTATTTAATAAAATACACTGTAATCGCTCTAAAAAATTTTATTTCTATAAACCATAAATTGTGATCGAGATGAAATCGAGATGAGTTTATTTAAGAGTGTGCAACCTAAACCCACTTTGTAGTTATTAGATAATTGGTGCAATACCGTAAAATCATAGCATCTACAATTACAAACAGCTGGCATCTCAAAACTAGTCAAATTAAAATGCACCTTTGTTTTTACCTACATTCAGTGAACCTTAAAAAATTGTTAGTGTTTGCGAGCGACCATGGTCAGTTCTTCTCAAAAGTTGCGTCAAGATAGTAAAAAAAACTACAGCAAATTCGGACAAAATTTTCTTTCAGCTAACAATGGAAATCATAGTCGTACAAAAGCAAGTGACGCTCAACTGGAATTCGATTTTAGAGACCATTTAGATTTAGCTTGGATCAACGATTGGTTGACGTATTAAAATAAACCTTCTTTTGATAAGAGCAAAACTTATTGTTGACACTATGAAATGGATACGTCAGCATTTTTTTATTTTGAAGATCAACATTTGTTAATAGCACGGACGCTTTTGATCATTGCTTAAACGTCTGACAATCACTTTTATACGAAATGAGTTTCTTTCATTCAAAAACCAAATGCATTAGTATGTTGGAATTCACTAATAGGTTACAGGTTAACACCATAACAATAAGATCCAGTTTATCAATCAATCAAATGGCGAGTGTAAATTAGCTTTAGCTGTCATACTATACCAGTACAGCCATAAATCTCGACCGTAGCTGCTACTTTGACGTGATGGCCGGGCTTGCCCATCATGATGACCCAAACGAGCTATATTGGCTGGAACATATGCTCCTTCAGGTCCTACCATGCCAGCCAGGTCAATTGGAGAACGGAAAAACTAAAAGCAGCGACTCAGGGTCTGAGGGCGAAATCGTACTGCTGAGTGTAGAGGGGTGTGACAGTAGTAAGGTGTTTTCCTTAGACAATTATCATCTGCAACGATGCCTCCTCACAACGGATGGTCGACAATAAAATGTCACACTTCACCTAACTCTATAGATTTCTTTTTCTGATGATATGAACTTTTGAAGAGCGGAGCTAACACGTCAACTTCCTACAAAAAGGCTGTGCGCTACCGGCTTCAAGCAGTTGTCCCTCGGGATTTTCGGCCACGCTTCCAGGTTGCCAAGGCCAACTCTAATCCAACTTCCTTCTTAGGTTCCCCAAGAAGCACCGTTCCGCGGTGTGGACAGCCAGGAAACAATCTTCGCCTAACAAACAGCACATGAAACCGAATTGGTCACAATCAAATTTTTCCTATACCTCTTAATATCAGTCTCACCTCCATGACTAACCCTTCTAAGGTTCTTTTATCACCTCTAGCCGCAAACGATGCGGGTACACGAGATGTTATTCCTGGTCTCCTGAAACCCCGCTCTAAACCGCATGTTTGAGCTTTCAATGTTTGAACCTTGTGCCAAAAAGAACAACAGACTTCCTTAGTTAGGGCTGTATAATCTCAAGCTATTGATGTCTGCTGCATTTCCGAAACGCGCATACAGGATCCGAGGAGAATCATTCGTTTGACCTCAGTTTGTCAAGATAAAGAACCATTTCGATTTAAGCTTTGTGTATCTAGATATCTCACTGCTGCCTCCTGTAGCCTCGTTGTAGGTATAGCATTAAGTTCTAATGCAGAACTAGCTCTCTTAGACTGGATCCTAGTAGACAGTCACTTGTGAGCTGTCCGACTTAACGGGACAGTAAAGAGTCGGGAAGATAGGAACGCTGATCGTCGCCTCTTTGTTGAGTTTTACAGAAAGCTTTCCAACCTTCACAAAGCTAAGCGCTCTGATGTAGTAATAGTGGCGGGTGACTTAAATGCTCAAACAGGTAGACTAAGAGAAAAAGGAAAAACAGCTGGGTAGATCTTATGATGTTGCGGCTCAAAGAAGTGATTATGACAACCTTCTGCTGCAACCATACTCAGATAGGCGCCTATCTCTGACAAATACCAACTCTAAACATCTGATACGGCGACCACCGATATCGAGTCAATACTGGGCCTAATAAGACAACATTGCTATAAGTCACCAATGGAGGGGGTCGATAAGACTCACTCATTCTAGAGCATATATTTAGACCGACAGATTCTTGCACGAGAACACAGTAAGTCACAGTAAGGGAACATATGAAAGTTCTACTTAGCAATAAAGAAATCCAAGATTGCTTTACAAGAGCAGCTAGAAAAAGAGTTGGACAACCGTGTCCATGAGTCAGTCAGTCAGTTGCAACGTAGAACTTCGTACGTATGTACATAAGTTCATGTTGCCATACCACATTATTAGCACAGAGACGCAAATGTCAAATCAAATCCCATGGTGATAAAGATGGTAGAGGTATTAATGTTATAATAAAGAAGACTAGGGTTTAAGATATTATTCAAAAAATATAATTCAGTGAGATAAGGTTAGAAAGACAAAGGTAGAGGTGCTGGCTAATCCAGAAGATTAGGATTTGAGAGAGCTCAAAGAGTGGATGCACCTGCGCCATTGCAAACGATTTTGAGCCATATCGTTCAAGGTCTCTAACCATTGGTGACTTTCGTCTCGCGGACCCCAACCAGGTAGTCTACATCTACCCACACGACTCAGTCCACTTGTCAGGGACTTCATGGATTTCTGCCATGTTTTGGTCTGGCCGCCCCTAGCTTTCTTCCAACCTACTCCTACACCACAAAACATAGCTCGTCGAGGCAGTCGGTGGTTAGGCATACGTAACACATGTCCCAACCACCTCAACTGATGAAGTTTCACCACTTCATCGATTGATCTGCCATCCTTACCTAGTACTCGTTTCCTAACGACAGCATTGCTTACTCGGCTGTCCCACGATATACGAGCAATGCTTCTTAAACATCTATGATCGAATACTAGTAACCTACGAACATCTTCTACTCTTAACGGCCATGTTTCACAGCCATATAAGAGAACGGAACGAACTGCTGCGCAGTACACCCGCCCTTTGGTTAGCGAACGGATATCACGCCTACGCCATAAGTGACGCAGGTTGGCAAAAACCAATCGAGCTTTCTGTATCCGAGCTGAGATTTCGGCAGTCACCAGACCATCGGCACTGATGAGACTCCCCAGATAAGTGAAGTGATCTACACGCTCGACTACTTCACTCCCTATCACTAGTTCAGGTGCCGAAGCAACCCAGTCTTGAAGCAACATTTTGCATTTCGAGGGGGAAAACCGCATCCCGAACATGCTCGCATTGTTGCTTATGGTAGTCAGAAGACTCTGCATTTTGTCAGCGTCTTCACCGAATAGAACTATGTCATCGGCATATTCTAGATCAGTAAGCGACTTTCCTGGTAGAAGGTCAACCCCTGAAAAATCTGACGAGCTTAATGTTAACTCTAAGAGGATGTCTACGACAAAGTTGAACAAGAATGGAGAGAGTGGGCAGCCCTGACGGACACCACTTGATGTAGAGAATTCAGATGACAGTTCGCCATATGCTCTCACCTGACCAGTGGTGTTCGAGTAGAGTGCTTGTATAAGGTTAATGTACTTCTTTGGTACACCTTTCAATGACAGACACTGCCACAGAACCTCACGATCCACTGAGTCGAATGTCGCCTTAAGGTCCAGGAACACGACTATTGTCGGACGTCTAAATGTGTGTCTGTGTTCCAGGACCTGTCGTAGTGTGAAGATGTGGTCTATACAACCACGTCCAGGTCGAAAGCCAGACTGGTTTTCACGAGTCTGCTCTTCGCGAGCTCTAGTTAGACGTCTAAGTATAATCGAGGCTAACAATTTAGAAACTATATTAGTTAAACTTATTCCCCTGTGATTGTCACAAGAGGACTTCTGTCCTTTCTTGTAGATTGGGACAATTAGCGACTGAGACCAGTCAGATGGGATTACGTCCATTTCCCAGATTCTACCTAGGATCTCGGTCAGTTTAACCGTTAAAACTGGACCACCATCCTTAAACATCTCAGGGGTAAGCCTATCGGGACCTGCCGCTCTACCTCTCCTTAGATTTCCTATAGCTTTCTCAACTTCATGTAAACTGGGAGGAGTTAAATCGATTTGCCATTCAGGATGACTGGAGATCGTGGGCAACCGAAGAGTGGCTGAAGGCCAGTTGAACTGATCCCTAAAGTGTTCTGCCCATCGGTCCAGCCTCCTAGATTGAGAATGGATAATAAGACCATCCTTTTCTGAGATAGTCTCACTTACATTCGGGTTCCTAATACCGGTTTCTTTGATAAGGCGGAAAAGTTGTCTAGTGTTGCCTATCGCCGCTGCCTCTTCCATCGCTTTTGCTTTCGCCACCCACCACTGTTCACGGTCGTTACGTAGGCTTTTTATAAGTCTGCGCCTAAGTTGAGTACGCTCTTCATCATGTTCAGAGTCAGGTGGGATGCGTTTTCGTGCATCCATCAGTTCGGTGGATGCGACTGAAATCCACGGCTTCATCCTACCCTTATGGTTTACCTTGCTAGCAGATATCACTGCTGTTTCCACAGCCTTCTTTATATCATTCCAACCTGACTCCGGATGGGAATCACTTGCATGATCGCCCAACTGTTTTTCTAGTTCCTCCTGAAATATTTTCTTAGCTTGATTATCATCAAGTAAAGCCCTAAGAGGCTTCCTTACGGTGTCTTTCCTACGTCCAGCAAGCCTCAAACAAATACGTGCTCGCACTAGGGCATGATCTGAATCTAAACATGTGCCCCAGAACGAGCGACAATCCTCTATCGAACCCCTCCATCGGTGGCTGATGGCGATATGATCTAGTTGTGTCCAACGTTGAGACGACTTCGGGGGTCGCCAGGTCAAAAGGTGTTTTTCCTTATGCTTAAAATTAGTGTTTGCTAGAAATAGTTGGTTATCTGAGCACAGTTGCAACAGACGGTCGCCATTGTGTTCTTTGAGCCGCGAGACCGTAACATCCACCTAGGTGTCTTTCATTTTCACTTAGTCTACCTACTTGTGCATTGAAGTCACCAGCCATTATAACTATATCAGAGCGCTTAACTTTTTGGAGGAGGTCCGAAAGCTTTCTGTAAAACTCATCTTTTACATCATCTGGGCTGCAGTCAGTGGGGGCGTAGGCTGATATGACGAAGAGGCAACGGCGAGTGTCCCTATCTTTCCGAGTCCTTACTGTCCCGTTGAGTCGGACGGCGCACAAGCGACTATCTACAGGGATCCAGTCAAGGAGAGATTGTTCTGCCCTACGACTCAATGCTATACCTACACCGGCGAGGCCCCTAGAAGCAGCATCAGGGCTACCGGATACACGAAGGGTAAATCGAGCTGCTTCTTTATCTTGACATGGTGAGGTCAAATGAGTGATGCTACTCGGATTCTGTATGCGCGTTTCCGAGACGCAGCACACATCGATGGAACGAGATTCTAAAGTCCTAGCTAATGACGCCTGTTGCCCTATTTGACACAATGTCCGTACATTGAATGCTCCAACATGTAGTTTGGAACGGGGTTTAAGGAGACCAGGAACGACGTTTCGCAAACTCGCATCGTTTGCATTAGCTGTGCACTGTAATAAATGAATGTGAGAAGAGTTAGTCGTGGAGATAAGAGAGGTATTAGGGAATGTAGGAAGGATTTGATTTTGAACAATTTTGTCTCGTGTGCTGTTGCGGGTATGAGGGCGGTTATCACTTCCCGGCTGCCCACACCTTGGAAGGTTGTTTCTTGACGAACCTGAAAAGGAAGATGGATTAGTGTTGGTGCGTGACCGCAGAGTCCAAGGGACAACTGCTTCAGGCCGGTCACGCACGGCCTTTTTATGCAATGTTTTTTGAGGATTAGCTCCGTTCTTAAAGGCCCTTAGTGGGCACCCTTACCCAAGGAGACGGAAATCCGTGAGGTAGGGGAGGTGTGACATTTTTAGGGCCGACCTTTTCTAACCCTTCCTTCCTTGTGAGAAGGCAGCATCGCTGCAGATGCTGGTTGTCCGAGGGAAACACCTTACTGCTGTCACACCCCTCTGCAGTCAGCAGTACGACTTCGCCCTCAGACCTTGGGTAGCTGCTTTTAGTCTCATCGTTCTCCAATCGACCTGCCTGGCATGGTAGGACCTGCAGGAACATGTGTTCCAGCCAGTATAGCTCGGTTGGGTCATCACGATAGGCAAGCCCGACCACCACGTCAAGGTAGCAGCTTCGGTCGGGTGTGTCCATGATGCCAACCCTGAGGTAGTTTGGAATGATAGCCGAAAAGCACTGGAGAGAGCAGTTATATCTGCCAGTCAGTTAAATCCAAAAGGTTAAGAAAAGCCATTTGATTCCAGAGGTATCTCAACTTATAGATCCTCGGAGACTCATTCCATCTGTCGCCGAAGACAATGAGCAAGGGCAGCCTAAACACAGTCTGATAAGTCTAAGCAATGACCGCGAACAGTTTTGGGTAGCGAAAGCAATGGATATGGGGAAGACAGCGGCAAAAGACGACAGAGTTATCAAGAAAACTGATATTAGGAAATTGATTGTTAGTGATACCATCTCGGAAAAGGGATGGGTTCATTACTCATTCTGAATCTAGAATATTGGATCGATAGGTAGGACACCACGGAGGATTTCAACTGACCTTCATTCACATTCCGGTTACTCACGGTTTTCAGTCAACCTGAATGACACGTTAACGTAACTTCTCCAACTCTGAACCAGGTTGAAAGGCTATAGGTAATCTCAAGCAAGGGAGAATAGTGGGGTCTGGTAGGTTAACCCCTGAGATAAACGTACCTACGAAGTTCTACGTTATAACTGACTTATTGACAGCTAGACAGAATTGTCATGGTAATTTGCATGGTAGAGTTAGTAATAGTATTGATGGAAACAGAAAAGGTTAAGCATCGAGGATACAAAGCAAAAAACTACAAAACTGTTGAATAAAATTAAAACATTGAGAAACTTAGGACCTAAGGGTAAAGAGTGAACATACCTGCGCTACGGTGGGCGATACATGGGACGCTTTACGGTTTTACGTGTCATATTTACATAGAAGTCATGTTAATCTTTTCTGTATCGCTCCAACATTAGTTTGTGCTTCACCAAAGTATTAAGCCCTTGATGACTAGTTTAGTTACACACGTAATAAATTTAAGGCCAACCTACGAATACGACTGTGCCGGTTACTCTTTAGAAAAATCTAAACGAATGATGTATGACTAGATATAAATAAAAACGACGAGGCGAATAATTTATACACTTGTATGATGTTCACATATTTATTATAATGTAAAACTTACTATCAGGTACTTTGATAACATGACCATCGCCAACCAAATAATCGTTTGGGCTGTTAAACTGACGAATGATCAACTCATCACCATGCATAATCCGTAGTTCTGGACCTGGGAATTAAAACAATGTATTGGTGGGTTCATCAAAGTATTATGCAAATATTGTTTAATGGCACATGTAAACAATATATGCCGAATGCAAATATGCAATGGCCAGACAACTAATATCACTTAACATTGTGTGCTTTTGCGATCATAATAATCAGATACAGGTATAATGACGGTTCATTGTGCGGATCTGTCAAGTTTAATCAGTCGCCTACTTTTAGTACGTTACTGAAGTGTCTGCGGTCCTATCAGTAAGGTTTTCTTAAAACAATTTTACATATGTCTAAGCAATGAAAAACACAGGAGCAATATACAACTAGAACATGAAATGCCAAAAACTTTTTGTACCTTCGTTGGCTCCAGGGATCCGGAAGTAAGCGACCCGACGTTTGTTCAGGGCAGTCTCCCAACGAATAGAAACATTCTCCAATTTTAATGATTCTTTGATCTTTTTATCATAATCAGCCTCCAGTTCCACTAAAGGTGTGAATACATCTCGATATTGCTGCGAATGCTCATATCTTTAAGAAATGAAGACTTTAGGAGTAAATCTTACCTTAACAAAACCGGACTAACTTCGTTATCTGCACCCGGTTTTTCTAGGTCTTCCACTGCTGCCTGGGGATTTTCTTTCCACATTTCTTCAAGCCGGTTTATTTGTTGAGCCGATATCTGTCGAGCTTTTGCTTGTTGTTCATCACTTGGAACTTTTACAAGCCAAGCAAGAAACTGACGCCCTTGAATTATGGGTTGCCATTGAGCAGGATCCCAGTACATGTCTTTGTTGGCATTGGCACAGACATTACGACAAAGAAGTACAACGACGGACTCAGACTTTGCCGGCACAAAACCCAGCAGGAATACGTTTTTCGACCCACATACATAGCATTCCAAAAGAGTATCTTTTAAAGGTCCATCTTTATGTAAAGTAACTTCTTTCGCGCGAGCCCTGACAAGATGATTGATAATATGACTAAACAGAATAATATGGTTAGTCAACTAACCTTCCTGATGTGTTTCCACGGCCATTGCAAAACCACTTTTTTGTAGTGTTACAAAGCACTACACAAGCAGGGTCATGAATACCACAATAAGCGCACGCATGCTCTGGTAAATCGACGTTAGAATCATCTACGTTCTCATCTTTGAAGTCTAGATCAGCAACACGTTGAGACAGTATATTGATGCTATTGGACCCATCATGCTGATAACATGTAAGGCTGACTAGCATAAAAACATACCTGCTGAGAGAAGCAAGTTTTATCAGGGTCAAGTTGAGAGGCCTGTGTTTGAGACTGTGAAGGCAGAGTGAAATCAGAACAGTCATAATCAGGCCCCTGAGTATCTCCTCCAATTAAATCATTCTCTTCAGGGTCAAAGAAAGTCAAGGCTTGAGAATTAGGACCATAAGCATCAAAAGTATCCATGTGGACAACTCGCGCTAAGTATACGAGACGAACTCCTATCGCACAAATTTAAACAACACGATTTATTAATGACCTAGGAAGTAAAAGTACCTGTTCAACACACTTTTTGTTATAGGTTCATAAGTTATGCCATCAAGAAAAAATTATTAATTCATGATTACTTCTTTAGTTTTAAGTGACATTTTCATTGTTCAATAATCACCGACCTTGATAGTCGGAACAAGAAGTAAAGTGACTTTTACGAACGTTTGAAAGTCATATCGATGCACATGACAAACTTCTATAAAATTTTTCATCAGCGGAATTCCCTATTTCTGTATACGACAATGAGTCTAACATAAGTTACTGTACTGGAATTGCAGATGCAGTAGTTCTGACTGTCCTCATGTATTTCTTCTTGAACTCAATACTGGTACTGAGGTGACTAACAGGGTAGGAAACGAATATTTCTGTCATTGAAAGTTGTCACACTTCATAAAAATTTTTCTGATCACCATATTTAGATAACACCCCTTTCAAAATACCAACTATCCACGAAGAATGCTTTCGATCTTCCAGCCTGGGTTCTGGTTCGGCAGTCAGAAGGTGCAAACGACCAAAGCATCGTCAAACTCTGAGTACCCATGACATTTTCATCAATGATCACTTGCTGATCTAGTGTACCAAGGGGAAATTTGGAAAGGTATGGAAACAGAAATGATCCTGCGTATGAGAGTGGTTATTGGACGGCAAACTTTTGAGGAAGACCTATGGTGAGAAACCTATCGGTCCGAACTTCTCTGAGAGGAGCAAATCGTTGTTATCTTTAAACAGTTTGAAGATCTCCTGGACATTATTCTTGGAGGCTCTTCTGTTGAAAAAACGCCTAGTTAGATAAAAATATGCGATTACAGACCTCCTTGTTGCGACACAAAATTTTCGTATCCTCTATCATGATCATAGATGGAGCAACACACCTAGAAGAAGCACTGATATGCTTGAAACTATCACGAGTTCGCTTTAGTCGGTAAATGAGAGCGAAGACAAATGATTCAGTTACACGATAAAGAGACACGATATAACGAAGAAAAGGCGAAATCCTCCTATACAACACAATATGTTCCAATCAAATCACACTTGAGGGAGAAGCTCCTCAAGATGTGGAAACTTCTACACATTTGTCAGCAACGTTGATGTGAAGATGTGATGACAATGACTAGAAAAGCAAGGGCAGCATTTCCGCAGATGAAGAACATCTGTCAACTGACACCAGATACAGAATAATCAGTAACGACTTCAAGACAGTTCTGTAGTAGGGAGCCGAATGTGAGAATAATATGGAGGTTACCATGCAGAAGATAACAGTGTTTATTAGCAGTTTTCTATGAAAATACTGATTATCCGTTGTCCAGAAACCATCAACAACAACATATTGTAGCAAAACGCAAACCAGACTGCATCTTAAGAAGAATTCAGGAGGAGATGGATAAGATAAGCACTGCGGAAATCAGCCAACTGCATCACGAGGAAAGCCCTAATTTAAACCTTCAAAGTCAAAGGAAAAAGGGAAGATCAAAAGACGGGTGGCCCAGTGAATTGTGTGTTAACGTTAAGAGGGTTATTAGTGATTGAGAACAAATAGAAATGAGAGCCAAGGCCAGATTTGATTGCACACTTCTTGTCACTGGGCTATGGCAAAGTAGGAGTATAGGGTATTAGTTGGGGAATATTCGCTGTCGTGTCGGCATTTGACCAAACGTTGACCTTATTGCGAACAATGATGAATGTATACATGAAGAAACACTCCGTATGCAGGTGACGAAGAGCTAGTGTATCTTAACGAAGATTCACACGCACACATTTACTGGACTTTCGTTTTGTCAGACGTTTCAGTGCTAGTCACTGATTCAGACTTGCCTAAGAACTGATAGGTAATGACTCCTATATCAGTCACATGAATTTCGTCGCATTAGTCTAGACCAAAGCAAACATGGTAGCAACAGAAATAATATTCCACATTCTCGTCAGAAAGATTTTGGTTGGAAAACAGGTACAAACTGACTGTAGAGAAGGACAACTCATCAGAATATCAAAGGAAGGCGATCTCAGCAAGTGTGAGAACTACATAGGCACCAAACTTCTCTCAATACCGGGTAAATTCTTCAACAGGGTATTGTTAAACAGAATGAAGGACTTCGTAGACGTCCAACTTCGAGATCAACAGGGTGGATTTCGTAAGAATCAATCGCATGCCCACAAAAATGCTACATTACAGATAGTTGTGGAACAATCATTTGAATAGAACTTACCATTCTATGTTAACTTCATTGATTACGAGTAAGCATTCGATATCGAGGACAGGAAAACACTATGGAGACCTTTTCGACACTACGGCGTGCCTGAGAAGATAGTCAACATCATTATATGGAATTCTCATGATGGATCAAACTGAAAAATCGTGCACGGAGGAGAGTTAACAGACTTGTTCGGGGTGGAGACCGATGTTAGGCAAGGTTGCTTACTCTCACCCTTTCTCTTTCTTCTGGTAATCGACTGGATTATGAAGATGTCAACATCTGAAGTAACAAATAATGGTAATAATTCGTTCTCAAAAAACAATATGTTACAAGAGCCATGTCAATTAACAGGCAAGATCAAAATGTTAAGATTGCTAACATATTTTTTGTAAAACGTTGTTCAGTTACTGAAATATTAGACGAGATACATTGGCTTCATATAGATGGCTGAAATTTTCCACATAAAACTATAGATAATTTTTCAGACTCTGCAATGGACGATGCGAAAGCACGGTATCCAATGAACAGCCAGGATGCAGCTTGACTTTCTGGACTTTACAGATGATCTGGCTCTTCTGTCGCACACGCAACAACAAGTGCAAGAGAAGATGGGCAGCATCTGGGCAGCATCATCGACAATCATCATTGTTGAGAACGGGAATCTGATGCAGATGTGAAGGCACGGATAGGCAAAGCAAAAGCTGCATTTTTACAATCGAACAACATCTGGAACTCCAAACAACTATCAACCAACACAAAAATCAGAATTTTCAAAATAAATGTCAGGACAGTTCTACTGAATGAAACGAAAACTTGAAGAACTACCAAAACCATCGTCCACTATATACAAGTGCTTGGCAAAAAATGTCTACTCGAAATACTTCGAATTTGTTGGCTAGAAACCATCAGCAACAACCTACTGTGGGAAAGAATAAACCAGATTCCAGCGGAGGAGGAAATCAGAAGTGGACAGGACACACACTAAGGAAAAAAGCCAACCGCGTCCCAAGGCAAGCCCGCACTTGAAACCCTCAAAAGCAAAGGAAGGCCAAGAAACATATTACACCAAGAAATGAAGACAGACATAAGCATAAACAAAAATTGGGCAGAACTGGAAAGGGAGGCCCAGGACAGAATAGGTTGGAGAATACAGGTCCGCTGCCTATGCTCGATTGGGGTTAACGGTCATAAGTTAATAAGTAAGTAGTCTAGGCCACCAAAGTTCTAACTCTTATTCCACCACAAGTCAGCTGCAACTCTGTAATACACCAGCATTATCTTAGAGATACCAGAAAGGACTTAGTTGTACAGACTAACGGAAATTCTACCAAGAAACGTGCCACATACAAACTATCTGTCCAAAATACCCAACCAACCAACCTACCTACCACTACTCTTACTCAAGACGTTACTAAGCTTCTAGGAAGTGAACCCTAGAACCCCTAGTACGCACACCACAACCGCTCCCCATCTATAACCCAATGATTAGTATCCCGTTAATTGAGCGCAAAACGTCTGGAATACCAGGTAGTGCACTGAAAACCCATAACGCTAGCTCTGCTTGAGCATCGGCTTGATGTTCCTAAACGCAACCCTGTCCGAAATACCTTTTTCACCCCCAGGGTCCCTCTTCCAAAACATGAACCTCACCCATTTTTATCGCTTACCGCTATCTCACACTGTTGAGGGAGATATTCCCACCTTTTGTAAGTCATCCTATACATATTGTGGGGTAATGGGTGACAGTCAGTCTTTGCCGCTAGCAGTCGCTTCAAGTTGTATTGCTTTTATAGATGGTCCTTCTGAATGACCAGCTTTTATATCTTTCACCGACTTCACCTACTCCACGCTCCATGCTTATCCTCTTTAGTGACTTCCAAATCTGTTCTTCGGGAATCATCGTTTAACTTTGAACAACGATGTCTACCATGCTCTACTTCACTCACTATTCTGACTACATCAATCTCTGGATACCTCTATCTCACCAACTGTATTCATCAAAAATCAACCGAGCATAGTCTTATGGCCTATATTCCTACGTCCTCTTCTTGTTCACATTACACAATAAACAAAATACCTATCGTTCATCGTGCAACCCTAAAAGACAAGCACTCATCTTATGTGACACTGATTATAATCCATTCCCAGTCTGTAGTCAGTTAGATGACTCACCTACTCTCCCTGGTAGTCTTAAACAACCTTTCACTTTCCCTGATTACCGAAAGTTGATTGTCCTCCGATGTCCCAGATTGATAACTTCTAATAGACTACTATGAACTCTTTCACTGTGACTAAGGTTTAAAAAGTCTCGTAGTTATCCCATCTATGTATCTAGAAACATCAAATCTTCTGTGGGACTGAGCAGAATGAAGTCCATGATTAGACATGGCTTACTGAGCATGCCGTGAATGTAAAATATCGACTGGATGTATATACCAAGCTCCAACCACTTATCGATCGATTGGCATTTCTATTGGTGGGTCGTCTGTCAAGATTGCTTGCGAAATTATTTGCAGTGACTTCGACCTCTTGTGAACCAACTGGCAGACATACCCCGGTGCACTGGGCTTCGAAAGCATACTTGTTCCCTTAGACACACATGGTCGGCAACAACATGTGCACCTGCCAAGAAGGAACCACAACATTCTGGAATTGATATTTTGTCATGGTGTCACACCATCTGTAACAGTCTATAAAAAGTTTTACAAGGGTGACCATAAAATA